TATATATATATATATATATATATATATATATATATATATATATATATATATATATATATACTTGGATAGTTGACATTTCAGAGCATATTTTGTGGTGTAAGTGATAGTGTTTAAAGAAGTACAGTTGTCTTTGTTACCACTTGAAAATGAAAGGCAGTACTGAATTTTCTCGGTGCATTTTCCTTTTCTTTTTCGTGAAAATTTCTAGAGTTTGACTGGGATATATTACCTTACCCACCATATTCACCCGACATTGTTTTCTCCGACATTGTTATCATCTGTTTAATTCATTATAAAACTTTCTTAAGATAAAATTGTATAAACTTCGCTTCTTTAAAAAATATGAAAAATTACTTGGAACGTTTCTTTATTGAAAAAACACAATAGTTTTACAAAAGAGGACTTGTGAAATTATGTGTAAGATGGCAAAAGATTATCGAACAGAATGGCACATATATTATTGATTAAAATTGTCTATAAAAATAATAAAATACATTTCAGTTTTTTTTTAATCCGCATGAATTATGAATCAACCAAATATTTTTCGATAATTATGGAGATATACACAACAAGATCATTTCCTGAAAGTACATGGAATTTTGCTCATGTACCTGTAACATGACGCGTTTGTGAATAAATATACAATAATAAATTCACTGACCCGAATCTTACGAAAACCAGTGCGGTGCAAAGTGCTTCTAGATGCCTTCGATGCGGAAAAGAGAAAATAAACTGACTCGCCAAAACTGTTTCGCGACCGTTAAACCAGGCACGTGGCACGCGTTTCCTCGTCGCATACCAAGCAGCATCTGAAAAAGGATACGCTCGCTCGTTTAGAAATCGCGTTTGCCGCCGGTATGTAATGCAATAGATCTCGTTAAGCGTAAGTCGGATCTGAACCGCGTAAGGAATGATTTAACGCTCGGGGTAACGGTGTCAAATGAAGTGAACGGGTTCCGCGTAATTATGCGAATTTTTCACTTGCATCGAATTAGAATTCGCCAGATGTCCGTGCTGTTAAAAGGAGATTATCACGCGTAAGACGAGCGGTCCATGATAGAAAAGAGAGAAACACAAAGATAGAGTGTGTGTATTTGTGTATGTCTATTTAGACGTGTATTTCAATTATATTTTAATCCTAATAACGCTCATGCGTGATTACAAAACTGTGAAGATGCAAAATTGTAAAGATCGATTATTTTACATACAGAGAGAATATTATAGTTTTCTTCTTCATATAAATTCTTTTCAATCTCACTATGTTTAGTGATGCAAAAATAATCAGTTCTATCTTGCTAAGAAACATACGTGGAAAAAAGTTGATTAGATGAATCATGAAGTTCTTCAGAAGTAAGTTAGTCAGAAATCTTAATAATTCAGACTGAATTCTGATAACTTCAGCCGGAATTTCTGAACTGTTCATACTTCACCAGGAATTGGTTTATCCAACCAAATTTTCTCTTCCATGTAGCGAATTTCAATAAAAACATAGAAAATTTTTCAATAACACATTTCAGGTCCTAAAATATAAGTAGCACATATAAACTGAAAGAATAGAATCCATTACTGCAGAATAATGTTTTGTTATAAAATTTTATACAATAATTTTTACTGTAAAAATTTCTCCGTGTAAAAGTGGAAAGAATAAAAAGATACAGCAAACATAGATTCTTACTTACTTGCACTCTACGTATTTGTACGATTTGTGTTCATCATTTTCTACTAGCTTCACCGATTCGTCCAAAGCACTCGCTATTTACGATTTAACATCCGTCGTGCTGAAATAAAACGTATTACGACACACCGAGGCCCATCTAATTATTGTGTAAGTCTAATTGCCGTGCGGGAGAGAGCCTACGGGGTGTCCGTAGGTAGCTGGTATTCATAACCGGTCTCGCGAGCATTTCAGCAATTCGAATCGTCGCGATGATCGACAGCGCGGTAATTAAGTGCTTTCGCGAAGTGGAACACATTGTACACGGACAGAATCGCGCGGCACACGCCTTCTTGCGTATCTGCTCTCACGTGACTCTCTTTAAGTACAAGGACGAGTGCTCGTGCGGGATGGGACGCGATAAAGAACAACGCAATTAAGTGAGCTAAAACTTTACAGCCGGGAACCTTGATTGTCTTATTAATAATTAACTGACGTCTTCGATGCACAACCGTCGGCACAATATCGGCGCATGTTTCTCTATTAAACATTCAAGGAACGAGCGCCTTATTTACGGCGCATCGTATTTATTAACGCCAACCTACATCCATTTCATATGTCACGTGCCGTACATTCAAATGCTGAAACGATTGTATGAAATGTATCGCGGCGTACTCTCTTACGACTCGCGGGGCACAAACAAAGGCACGGTTTGCGCAAGGAACGCGCGCGCTTCGCAACCAGCGACGTGAACGGCGTGCTTTTATATTTGATAGGTGAGCAACAAAGGTCTGAAGATCATACAGACGGTTCACCCAGGTGGCTCCACGAGGTCGGCGGTGAAACACTTAGTACCAGGTCACGCGGTGCTGGCAGCCGTGCAGCGGGAGGACATCGTAGCCGCGACTCTGCTCCTGCCGAATCCCGCCACGAACAATCCCGTGCACGTGCACGCGTACAGGTTGCCGCATGTTACTTTATTTCGCAAGCTAACATAAACTAATCAATTATCCATCGCAACTAACTCTTATCGTTAAGTCAATCATCACTCATTAACCCCAATAGTCTGAATTAAATTCAATTAATCCTTCACACAGAGAAAATACTGTAATAAAAATTATATTAAAACTATATTTCGATTTACAGTGTCTTTGGTAGAGCTGTACTATGAATTGAAATTAAAATTGTGCACTGAGAGAAATTAAAATATTTAAAATTAATAGGCAGATATTTCCGATCAAATCCCGATCAATATCCGATCAGCATATCCGATTAAATTTAATCGGATACTTTCAATCATAATGGCATTTCATCAGATAAACCGATCAAAAAATTATGAACCAACACTGAGAGAAATGGCTTGCTGAATGATACTATACTCGTTTTATGAAAGTAATATGGTGAATTTATATACAATATCTGGTTCACATATCCAATATTCTGATTATAATGCCTCGACGCATCTGGTAGTCAATACCGAGGCATTTAGTTGTAGACATCTAGACAGTTTGGTAATTCTCTCTAGACGTGTGATACTATTGACGCGATAGTTAATTGTTACTCGCTGCGACGATTCCTTTTTCATCTATACTAATTTGTAAAGATGTCGATGCTATAAAAGAGTAAACGCTGAAACCGCCAAATATTTGGAAGAAAGAAATTTTTTAAAATATGTCGACGAATTTAGAAGTAAATATATGAAGATTATATACAGTTAGTATATGAAAATTATATATAATATGGTTAGATTTTAGATTAGGTAAGAAGTCTAACACTACTCCACAACTGTATTCATAACATTCACCAAATGAATTGTATGCTGTACCAGACGGTTTGGTAAACGTATTTAAGAAGCATTACTGTAATTCTTTACTTAGACAATGCGCTCACCAGATATTTTGGTATCATTGACTAAATATCTTGTTACACGATTATTCACCATACCGTTTTATTTAAGTAAACCTAAATAAAATTCTGGTTAGTATCATCAGACATTTCCCTCAGTGAATATTTCTCATCGGGTGTTTCCTGATCGGATACAAAAGTTCAATAGTATTTTTATCGGAAATATCCGTTTGTTAATTTTTTATTGGATAATTTCTCTCAGTGTAGTATAAATTACTGAAAAAATGTAAAAATAGCCAGAATTTAATGATCTATCGAATACATGATATGAAAAACATTCAAATAACTGCAATAATTTTGCAGTTGTATGTTAAATGTGCCTAACATTTTTTAACAGATATAGTAGTCATAATTTTCTGTATCATAGATCACAAAAATTCTTTTGTAATTTTTACTACAACATTTTCTCTATGCATAAAGCCATGCAAGTTTGAAGTTATACACTCATGTATCTGTATTTTTCAGACGATTGCAAGATCTAAGCTCACAACTATCACAATCGCAAGTAATAAAATGTATAATGAATATAGACAAAAATTATAGATTTTACTGCTTATAATTGTGATAGTTATACGAGCGGAGATCTTTGAATCCATTGCAGACTGATGATTCCACTTTTGGTTTACTTAAAAATAATTAATTCAATTAATTATTAATTATAAATATTATTAATTTATATAAGTTGTATAAATTAGCACATTTCCGTAAATCTACCGATAAATTTCGTTAGAGTATCGTCAATAAAAAAAAAGGGATATCTATTCTTTTACGTATTAAAACCATTGGTTTTATCATTTGCAGTTTAAATTCTTCTTGTTCAAAAATTATCATAATTCCAAGATTTTAATATTGAAACTCGTCTCCAATTTACTTCAGGAAACTATCGTTACACCGATAATGTAGTAGAAATAAAATATCGTGCATATCTTAAGAAATTAATAGAAACACATACCATAAATATTAATCGGTTTCCCGTGTTATCGACCTGGTTCTTTCCACATACACACAATCGGAATTATACATATTTAAACTTCTTGCAGACCTTTATTAAACGTCATATGGGAACATAAGATGCAGCCACGTTGTTTATGCATCGGGTCTGGCGCAAGGAATTCGCGTTCAAATAAAGGCCATTCGGTTCATCGGCTTGATCTCACCCGTTACAAGCCACGTTTCATTCTCTAATTAACGACTTTCGTAATTCTAATGGATCGCTAATGATTTTCATAACCATGCCGGCGTTTGCACGTCGGCCGCATTAGATCGTCTCGCAGCGAAACGGCGAACAAATTAGATGTATTCGGAGCAACCTTGTCATTAAATTGCAGATTATCGAGGCTATTAGTTCAGCGATCTATTTTACAGCGCATTAATTAGCACGCGTTTCGTATAATTGCCCGAGAAGGTCTCGGTCGAATTTTATTTTGCGACCAAGACTGAAAGGAGAGGCTCCGACTGTAAACGCCATTCCACAGAGATCGACACTCTGAGCGATTGTTTAAGCCGAGTACGAGCCGAGCAAGGTGCGCAATCTCTCTGGTATGCTCAATGAAAGTCCCGTTAAACAACATTTCGTGTAGCACAGCTCGAATGAATAACAATTATATTCCACGATAAACTTCGTTAAGTATACTGACGACCTAAATGAGAGACAGAGAGAGAGAAAGGACAAAATAAAAAAAGAAAACAGCTAGTGACTTTAGGACTAAGCCCACTCAAACGCTAAATAATAAGACATAAAGATGACATGAATTTGATTATCTTATAATAAGTGAATATGAGCATATTATTTATTATTATATATTATTATTTATAATAATATCAAAGTAAAAAACAAAAGAAAATTAATTTAATTGAAGTTTAATAAATTATATCTATATAGTATCTTTCTTTGAAAGTATTCAAAGAGAAAGAGAAATAGAGAAAGAGAGTGAGAGAGGAAAAGGAGAGAGTAGGAGAGGGGAAAAGAGAGAGAGAGAGAGAGAGAAAGAAGGAGGGAGAAGAGTCGGTATTTCTCTCACCTGGAACACTGTTCATGCTTATCATGTACTTACATCACGATGTAACACGATGCGCATTTTCCACGTGTTTTCCGCAAACAGGACAACTTAATCCCACGCTAAAGTACCTCTTGCCGTATACACAGGAGTTCTATATATCATTGTATCTTAATACGATGTTGTGCATTGCCAGTAATTGTTTTTGTACACCTGGTGCAGCGGTGCATACAATGTAATCTGTCAGAAAGCAAAGAAATTTAAACGCGCGCGCGCGCGTTTACGAGTAAAGGGTCAACACGAGACGGGATTCCATTTATCTTTCATTTTATTTCTCCGTCGCGCTTCAATAGCTCGGGACTCCGTTTACCTTCTGTCTTGCTTTCTGGCCGTTTTAGATGCGATTCGGTTGAGACCGCCGAATTGTTGGGCGGCCAGCTGAAAGCGCTGGCGTCACACGCCGACAATTTGGCCAGGGTCACGACGGGCGAAGGCAGAATCCGCAACAATCTAGGCAGCGACGGCCGAAGTACCAGAGAATCCGAGTCCTCCGAAGGCAGCGGTGAACTCAGACACGATCCGGTCCAAGCCACGACCATTTACGAGTCTCTGGCCGCCGAGTTGCGGGCAAAATTAGGTGAATGTCTTCTTTAACATCTCGTTCAATATTTCGCCGTTGCACGAGGTTCGCGCGAGTCGGAATATATTTATGGAATATATCTGAGAAATTTTAAGAAATATTATGCATATTGCGCGCGGTGAGACCAGAAGAATATTTTGTCGCATACACGCGTAAGAAATAAAATATAGTTAAAAGAGAAAGAGAATAGGGACAGAGCTTATGAATGTAACCCAAATTACTGAAAGACCTGGAAATTTCTTTTGCTTCGTTCTCTTTAATAAAGTAGCTACCGAGTCGTTCCGGAATTCGAGTAATTTTTCACTTCTACAGAGCAAATTCTCTATTCTGAATCATCGAGTAAACATTTTCTCTTTAAGTTGTTCCCTCGGAGAGTAAATCTGACGTATTCCAGTTTTATAGAAACAAATTCCTTCTAATAAATTCGCTCGTGTGGATTAAGAATCCGTTCTACGGTTTAAATTAAACGTATGATTCATGCATGATTACAACTGGCAGTATTTTCGCTTTAAATTTTCACTTATTATGAGTGAGATTTTATTTTAAGAAAATGAAAATTTAGAAAATAATCTCTAAATTTTATGGAGGAAAATTTTACTAAAAAAGTAGAATAATCGACAACTAACTCAAATTCGAGTGACTTTTATTTATACGGAGCGAATTCTCCACTATAAATCGTCTCACTCGCGAGTAAATATATTTTTCCTTGGTATTAAATCTGATGTACTCTAAACATACTGTCATAGAAACAAATTCATTCCAATCAATTGGAACATTCCCTTTTATAAATTAAGAATTCACTCATACTTGAGTTGGACGTTCACTTGCATGATTTGAATGGCAATATTTTGCTGTGAATGAATTTTCACTCGTATCGAGGGAGATTTCACTCCAAGAAATTTAGAGAGTTTACACTACCGTTAGGAAGAAATACTATTCGTACTCGGCGATCTTAGCCGCGTGAAAGAATAAACAGCAGGCGACGCATCTACGAAGCGCGTTACACGAATACGTGTCAAGGCGACGCATATACGAGCAGGCAGTCATGTTCCAGGTAGAGGTAATTCAGGCGATAGCAACGTCGGGCCGATATTATTGCCGCCTCGTGACTACGACACTGTGCATAGACACCGCGGCAACCTGGCCGGGATCGAGTTCAGACGTTGCCTGAATCAAACGATCGTAGGTGGTAGCACAGCCGTCGACAGGGGTGGCACGAGAAGCGCAGCCAGCAGCGGAATAGGCTCCGACAGCGCAGCAACACCACCGCCCTACCAGACGCATCACCCTCTCGGTCCGAGGCCGTCCAGACCGTCCAGAGACTCATCTTCCGGTGAGTGATTCCCGGGCCACTCCGGAATGCTCTTTCTTCCCGAATATCGTGCCTAATTAGCTGATGTGTCAAACCAAACGACGCACAGTGGGGACAAATAGGAATTTACTGTTAAAAAATCGCTACAGATTACAATTTTGTAGCTATCGGGATGAATTTTAAATTAAACGTTAATCAATGTAGAAAAAAACTGTTGAGCCCGATTTTTTTTTAAATTCTTCTCAATGTTGCAATCAATTGCAATGATTATATTAAATTACGAATCTGATGTAAAAATCAGAATTTGGCAGTTGACAACTGTCAATCTTGTGTCATAAACAAAATCATTATGTTTTAATCCTTTAAGACGCATAATTCATGCAACATTCTAGTAACTTTTTTTTAATGAAATATTGTAAAAAACACTCTAAATAGCATATTTATAAGGTTTCAACTGCCCATCAGTTTCAACTATACTATGTTAACTCTTTAAGTATCACTGGTATCAATAAGGTCCACTTAGGATCGAAACTTTATAAATATGCTATTTAGAATGTTTTTTACAATATTTCATTTTAAAAAAATTCCTAGAATGTTCCATGAATTATGCGCCTTAAAGGGTTAAAATATAATAATTTTGTTTATGTTGACACGAGATTGGCAGTTGTCAACTGCCAAATTCTGATTTTTATATCTGATTCGTAATCAGCGATGCTGAAAACCTTAGTACGCTGTACTGTGCAGCGAAAAAATGGAAAGTTTTCCAGTTGGAAAAGTGACTCGCAAAACTTGATATTTTCTTACAAATTCTTATCAATACTGCAACATTTAAAAGAATTAAAAAAAAATCGAGCTCAATAGTTTTTTCTACATTGAATAACGTTTAATTAAAAAAAAATTCATCCCGATAGCTATAAAATTGTGGTTTGTAGCGATTTTTTTAGCAGTAAATTCCTATTTGTCTCCACTGTGCGACGGCACAATGTATTAGGTGGTAAACTTAGTTCCTGCAGTTTTTTTGTTTAAAAAACTCATTTATTTCGACATCAAAAGCAAAAAATACATTAATCGAAGTATTTTCCCTCGCTAGCTATACATTTTTCCCATCTTTCGGGCAACGCGTAGATTCCGCGACGATAGAACGATTGGTCTTTTGATGCAATCCATTCGTCGATCCATTTTCGCACATCCTCGTAATTTCTGAAGTGTGTATCCACCAAGCCGTGCTGCATCG